GGGGGGGGGGAGCGGGTCATCTCAAAACAATTTTTCGGACGTACCAAAAAATAGTTTCCGGATATACCACATTTTTTCCTAAATAGATTCAAATAACATAGATTCAAGTTTTCAAAAGTGACCTTCAGGCAAAAAATGCAATCTTAATGAAAATTTTTCACGCAAAAAAGGGCACTTTGCTCCCGGAAAAAGTGCACTTGGCAAAACTTGGGGGGGCCTGGCCCCCGGTTCCTACGCCCCTGCTAACGAGTAACAAATCAAGCCATTTGTCGATCAGAACTAGCTTTGTAATAACGGCAACCGCTATTAGACACGCGAGAAAGTCTCGAATTTCGATTTGTATTATGAACTGTTGTCACTGTATAAAAATAGGTACGCGCTGCGTACATGTGGGTAGCCTGCATTAATTAACAATTATTCGCCGAAGGCGAGGTGAATATCGCTGAATAAAAACCGAGACGAAGTCGAGGTTTTTATTCAGCGATATTCACCGAGCCTGAGGCGAATAATTGTTGTAGTATAATTACAATTGCAAAGGTGACATCTCGTTTAATTAAATCGTTTAATTAAATTCATAAAGAAAGCGGTATGCGCAATGAAGGCGCTCGTATCGCCATCAAGGATGTTTCTTGTAGTAATTCCTATCACTTTTTCTGACAGAAAGGTATAGAATTTTGATAAAAATTCGGTTCATTTTGTCAATACTCATGTCTTCAAAGTCATTTGTGAATTCTGACTGTTGTTGAAACCAATCTGTAGACAATATATTTTTACAAACGTAAACAAATGTCTAGATAATTGTACGGCAATTTAAAATAAAACGATGTTTTATGCGAAATAAAGTTAAGCAGATGTAACATATGCTAGTGATTATATGGTTTAATAGGGATTAAGTAATAAGAGACGTTTTATATAGATATCTGATGACAAGTAGAGACTGAGGGTATTGTGATTGTATACAAGACGAATATAACAACAAGAGTTTTTTTAAATAGTATAGTTTCCTTGTTTGTGTATATTACATTTGGTGCCGTGACCAGGATGGCAACTTCGAGTCGTACGAGCGTAGCGTTTCCCGAGACCTTTTCAGATGGGGATATTGTTTTATGGCTGTGAAAATTCGAGCTTTGTTCGACCGCAAACGACTGGAAAGATACCGACATGTTAAAAAGGTTACCGACACTTTTGTCTGGTAAGGCCTTCGCAGTTTTTGAGCGTCTCGCAGCAGAGGCCAAAGAAGATTATAAAACCCTTACGAAAGCTTTAACGGCGGCGTTTGGCGGAGATACAATGGGCAAACATCTTGCAATGATGGCGTTTCGCAGTCGAACGAGAAAGCCAGACGAAGACATACAAGTGTTCGCCTACAATTTAGAGGCACTATTAAGGCGCGCAATGCCAAAAAGCGAAAACGGAGACAGAGATGTCCTGCTCCAGCAACAATTTATCGAAAGAGTACCCACAGAACTAAAAAGGGAACTATTACAACGACCAAGCATGTCCTATGAAGAAATGGTTGCGGTTGCCCAGCAACTAGATTTAGCGAGTCAAATTTCATCACACCAAACCGGGAGTCAAGTCAACCTGGCGAGTGCGAGTGACAATTTGCAGACAACAACGAGGGATCAGCCCTTGGTTGCGCAGTTGATGGAAAATGTAGAAACACTTACCAGGAAGGTTAGTGAATTATCTGTATCTGTCGCCAATGTCAACGCCACGTCAGCGCAAAATTCTACTCGGGGAAGACGGGGGCCTTGCTATCAATTAAAGGCTGCCTAGTATTCATGGATGACATTATTATTTTCTCGGATACCGGGGAGGAACGTCAACGCATTTTGGACGAAGTATTTCGTCGTATTCGGGCAGCAGGGTTGAAGATCAAGCGCGACAAGTGCCAATTTGCACAAGAATCGGTGAAATTCCTTGGCCACATTGTATCTGCACGGGGAACAGAACCAGATTCGTCCAAAGTTGAGGCCGTGCGAGAATTTGCGATCCCGACCTCTCTCACCGATGTTCGAGCGTTCGTTGGGATGGCATCATACTATAGACGGTTTATTAAGAACTTTGCGGACATCGCTGCACCGCTCCACGACCTAACCAAGGGTGGACAACTGGAATTTTGTTGGACACCTGTGGCCGACAAAGCATTTAATGACCTCAAAAGTCGTCTGTGTTCAGCACCTATCTTGTCCCTACCAGACTTCTCCGTTCCTTTCACCATTTATACGGATGCCAGTGATTTCGGCCTCGGCGCTGTCTTGTCCCAGCGAAGAGGTGAAAACGAGTACGTGATCGCGTATGCCAGCCGGACCCTTACGTCTGCAGAGAAAAATTACTCAACCACGGAGAAAGAGTGTCTAGCCATTGTTTGGACAGTCAATTATTGGCGGCCATATTTACTCGGAACACCTTTGACATAGTGACAGACCATCAAAGTTTAACGTGGTTGCAAGGATTGAAAGAACCGAAGGGTCGTCTCGCCAGGTCGATCCTTGCCTTACAGGAGTACGATTTCGAAATCAAGCATCGCCCAGGTCGACAACACACAGGGATGCCGGAACCACGGGTGCAGCGGGTGCAGTTGCACCTGTTGCCTTTTGTCTTCACAACTTTACGGGTGCAACGGGTGCACAAAGTGCCCTTTTTGCGTGAAAAATTTTCATTAAAAATTGCATTTTTTGCGCAAAGGGCATTTTTGAAAAATTCAATCTATGTTATTTCCGGAAAAATGTTTTAATTTCCGGAAAAAATAACATTTTGCGGAAAAATTTTCGGTATGTCCGGAAAATTTTTTTCGTATTTAGGAAAAATTGTGGTATGTGCGGAAAATTTTTTTACCCCTAAAATGGTACACTGACCAAAAAAAAATT